AGTGTTTCATATTAATCTTAAAAATTATTTAAATCAATACATTTGTATATTCTTTATTGAAATATCAAATAGAACAAACCTTATTTGTTATACGGAGAAGATAAATTTATGCATAACCAATTAATCTTTTATTTTATTTTATTTTTTTGGCTTAGGATAATTTTTCATTGGTGTTTTCATCAATTGAATGTAATTGTATGTTCTACCAATTGAAAGCTTAATTTTTGTTTTATTCGTAAAATTTTTTATGCATAAATTTTTATTATATAAAAATATTTAAATATATAATTTTAAAAATTATAATGAAAGAAAATTTCTAACCTTGATATTTGTCATGTTTTTTTCTAAAGAAAAATCTAATTCTCATAATAACAAACTTGCTATGTAGCACCTATATAATTTATAATGATTTCATTTTTAACATTAACAACATAAACTTTTATGAATGAATGTAACTTTTGCATAAACATATTTAAAAGATTATTCTAATGAATTTTGTTACATCTTGAAAGAGTTCACCAAAAGCAATTAATCTTACTTTATTTGAGAATTCTTCACTTATAATAATTTACTGAACCACCTAGATAACTAGAAAAGGCAAGAAATTTAATACAATCGAGAAAGATTAAATCATCTTAAAATAGAAATTAATCAAAGTGAACAATTCTTATGAAAATTTTGTCGTAAGCTACTGGTAGCTTTACACCTCTCAATCATCTAATTCTATAGGTGAAAAGTCCAATTGAAGTGTTTAAAGTATTCAATTGATCATATAATACTAATTGTTGGTGGAATGTGTGTATGATTTGTATTTGATTTGATATTAGTTTTTGTAAGTGTGTATGATTTGCATTTGATTTGATATTAATTTTTATTCATTGGCATAACAATTATAAAATTCTAAAGATAAAAAATATAAAAGACAAACTAATTATAAAGGTAGGCTAAATTATAAAAATAATATATATTAAAAAATTATTTCAAGAGACTAAAAAGATTTAATTATGTCACCAATAATCAAATAATCAATTCATAAAAATACAAACAATAAAATCATTTATATACATATAAACTTAGTGAATCAATTAAAACAAAAAAAATTGAAAAGAAAAAAATTAAAAAATGTTTTAATGAGTTAATTATGATTATTTTTAATAAATTCATTTATTAACATAAACTATACATGCAATTGTCTTTACAATAATAAAGAAACAAAGTTTATATAATTGTCTTGTTCCTATACACTCTAATAAGTTTTGATAATTTGTATTGTTATTTAATGTGAAAATCATATTTTATGTCTTACTATGAGTAAAAAATGATTAAAAAATTATAACAATAATAAAAAATTTATTTAAAAGTAAAATTTATAAAAAAAATTACTAATGATATTTTAATAAATCATTTTTAATATTTTTGGAATTAAAATGTTATTAAGGGTGTTTTACTTAATTGCTTTTAGCACTTTTTGAGTCTAATAATAAAAAATGAGTCTAATAATAAACAAAAAAATTCACTTAAATTAAAATTAAAAAAATTACTAAGGATATTTTATTCAATTGCTTTTAATTCTTTTAGAATAAAAAATTTAAGTAGTTTAATTTTATATTGACTATATTTTTATTTTAATGGATTTAAATTAAACTTAAATTAATTAATAAAATTTCTATATTTAAAGATTAATTTTCTAATTAAAAATTCATAGGGGTATGTAGGTCGATTACTTTTAACAGTTTTGGAGTTCATAGTTTTATATATAGATATAGATAGATAGTTAGCTGATAATAAGTTTTCATATCATTCTATTTATATTTTTATTTAATGTGAAAGTCATATTTTCTATGTTAATATGAATCTAAATGTTTAATTATAAAAATTCTAATAATAAAAAAATTAAAATTAAAATTAATAAAAAATTTACTAATGGTATTGTGATTAATCACTTTTAACATTTTTTAAATTAGAATTTTATTTAATCAGTTTTAATACTTTTTGAGTCTAATTATAAAAAGGACTCTAATAATAAAAAAGAAAATTCATTTAAATTAAAATTTTATAAAAAAATTTATAAGGGTATTTTATTCAATTGCTTTTAACACTTTTAGAATTAAAATTTTAAAATTTTAAATAGTTTAATTTCATATAGACTTTATTTATAATTTTTTTGAATTTAAATTATATTTAAATAAATTAACAAAAGTTATATATTAATGATTAATTTATTAACTTAAAAATATAAAAAAATATTTAAGTCGATTAGTTTTAATATTATTATAATTTACATTTATATATATAAATAATAAATGATATATCCTTTCTTGAACCTCATTTCATGCATAAATCTTTATTTATATTATTAAAAACAATATTCAACCTCATCAATCTTAGCTGTATCACTTCGTTCATCATTTTAAGGATCTATCTTTCATTACATAATTTTTGCAGCAGCAAATTGCCTCCAAATCAGATAAATGTAGATAAATGGCATTTCGCTTTGGCTGTTCAAGGGTGCTTTAAAATTTTACTAATCTTAATAAATCTACAACAAGGCAAGAATTTTAATAAAAGCTTCAAATTTAGTCTTGGAACAAATTACTATCAGATTGAACGAGTGCCAAAAGCCATGGAGATATTCATAGAAAACTTCTGGGGAATTCCATCATTGTGTATTTTAACATTGTTTTTTTTTTTTTTTTCCCCCTCATATTGGTAAAAAATGGTGGTTCCTTTAAATGGGCATGACACTTTGACTTGATCAGATCGTTAAAATAAGATTCTTCCTAAGGATATGGAAGAATAATAATAATAATAGGAAAATTATCTAATATGAAATTATAAAATCACACTGTTAATATATAAAAACCAAGTGTTTCATTTCAACCACAAAATATGTTAGGCATTGTTAGGTAATGTTCGCATTTTATGCCTTTGAGTTTTAGGAACCTCGAGCAGCCACAAACTTATTTGAAAAGTTGGTATTTGCCTTTTTCCGGTCCGGTGGAGTACTGTGGACCAATTATCCTGCTTCCTCGAGCGGGGATTCGTTGCGTAATGGTCTTTTTCTACGCAGCATTTGAAAAAGTAGAAGCAAGCAAATTAATTTTAATTATATATATATGCACAATCATGGAACATGGAACAAGCAACCCAATGCACTCAATGATTATTTAGTTTGTGTGGGCCTTTTCTTGGATTCCCGACATAAACTTCATGAATCCCGATAGTTGGATATGCAAAAGATGGACAATGGAAAGATAAAAATGCGAAAGATGTGATTTACTTTTTTAACTCTTTGGACATACCATAAGGGGGACAGAGTGATTCCCTAATACACTGCAAAACGAAGGAAAACAATGATGAACTGAGAAGCCAAGCAAGACCCAAGCTGTCTCTTCCTTTTTCATAATTCAGACCCAGTATTGCTTTCAATGAATTCATGGACAATAATGCGAACATTTATGGTTTGCTATAAGAAACATTGAGGTATCATTTAAGATATGAATTTAAAGAGTGTAAAATCTTGAATGTTGGGAGGGAAGGTGATTTTTAGATAAGTGTGGATATTGATAATTGGTGATTTTTTATGTTATTAGAATGGTAAATTCTTATGTTTGATTGAAAAAAAATTAGATTATGTAATAAAAGTTTTTTATTATAATGATTTTCATTATATGTGAATAATAAGTAATCAACATTTCAACTGCTTATTATGTAAAATTAAACTTATGATAATCATTAAAAAATTAAAATAAAGAAAATTTTTTATTTTTATAATATTTAAAATAAGTTAGTTTATTAAGAACAATATATATATATATATATAAAATAAAATTAAGAACGTAGTTTTTGATTAAAAAAAATTTACAATAACTAAGTTTATGAAAGTAAAAATGTAATCTTTGAATGATTATCCATTACGTTTTTATATCAAACGTAATTTTTATAATGTGTTAAATTACGATTTTTATGTTAGAAATATGATTTTTGTAGTTCAAAAACTACGTTTATGATATAAGAAATGTAGTTAAACAATTTTTTAAATGTAACTTTTTTATTCATTATCAACAATGTTTTGAAAACAAAAAAACATGATTTTTAAATGATTATCAACCAAGTTTTTTGTGTTAGAAACATGATATTTGTAATGTGTTCAAAAACTATGTTTTGAAAATAAAAAATGTGGTCTTTGAATGATTATCCACTATGTTTTGTATGTTAGAAACATGATTTTTTTAATGTGTTCAATGAATACATTTCTTATATAAAAAAAACGTGATCTTTATAGTTCAAAAACTACGTTTATGATATAACAAATCTAATTAAAATAAATTTTCAAATGTATTTTTTTATTCATTATCAATCATGTTTTGAAATGAAAAAAATGATATTTGATAGATTATCAACTACATTTTTAAACTAATAAACATGATTTTTCTTAGCAAAGATTATGTTTTTAAATGTCATAAATATTTTTAATATATATTAATTATTACGTTTCTTACATAAGAAACATTGTTGATATGAAAATATTTATTTATTTTGTTATTATTTTAATTAATCTACTATGTTTCAAATATAAAAACATAGTGCTTTTTAAAATAAAAGTAAATTTTAAAAATAAATATTACAATTATCTATTATGTTTGTTTTTCTAAAAACATTGTTTTTATTATATGTAATATATTACGTAAGTGTCAAATTGTATGATTGCACCTTTGTCCAATTGTGTGACTATGAGTAATATTTTCATATCAGAATGGTCTCCATTTATCATACAATTACGTTGATTTTCAATGGTGAAAGAGACCAAAAAAAATTTGTTATTGAGATTAAATGTGAAACAAAATTAATTTTTCTCTCGAAATCTTAAAAAGCTATAGAAAGAGGTAAATTTTTGATTTTGAGATATTTGATATTGTTAAAAATTTTAAAATACCCTAAGATATTAAATACCGTAAACTAAATATGAAAATCACATTATAAAAAGTAAAAATTGGAGAATAATCTAACCTTTTTTCGAACTAAATGACCTCTAAATGTATTCCCTAAAAGGGTAGAGAAAAGTGTGTAAAATGTGGCATGTCAAAAAGAATATATATCCAAATAGCAAAGCTAAAAATGTCAAAAAAAAAAAAAAAACTTATTCTGTCATTTAGTCTTGAATGCTTCTCTAGTCTTTGCCATATTGAGGTGTGATTTTGTGAAAAAAGTAAAATGTAAAACGCCTTCCCTTTCTTTTCTGCTTGTAGAGAGTATTCAGTTGACTTCTTTGTTTGTATCATTTCCAGTGTTTCCTACAGACCCCAGTTATGAAATTTTAATTCGAGTCACTGGCATTACACTGATAAATTTTGCGCAGAAGTTCCTGGCATGCCGGTAACTTCTACTGTGGCTGGTGCAGCTGCATTGTAAACGAAGCTAAATGTTATAATAAGACCAATTTCATGCTAATCCCACCACCAAGTAAAGCAATGCGAATAAAGGAACAATAAATATTTAGATAACTCAACCGGTAGGAGCAACCAATGATGGAGAGGCTGATGGAGGAAGTGTTAAGGTTCCAAATGAGAGGTACTGCTGAGATGAGTAAGGATACGGTGTGATTTTGGGATACTGACTTGGGCTGCTCTGTCCATGCTGGGGATAGAGTGGGAAGTAAGTCAAGTAGACTCCAGGGGATCCAGATGTCGCGGTGGTATAATGGGATTGGAAGTGTTGCCCTTCGTATACATTGTAATAGTTCTGCAAAAAACAACTAATTTCAAATCAAAGTATCCTACACGTTTGTAATGATTAAACATAAGCATCAAGGATTTCAGTTGCAATGACCATGTCGGCAAAAATACATTAAGATTTTAGTGAAACTCCACAAATTCTGAATTGCAAATTGCATTCACTGTTCTAAAGTGTGAATAAGAGACTAACCATTGGATGAATGTACTGTGTATAACCTGGATACCTGAATTTTAAGGGCAAGCATTTAGAACAGTAAACTACAAATTGAAATAAGAATTTATAGTAAAGCATTTCAATTTTCAAATAATATTAAGCCATGCTGATAGGTTTTGAATCTGATCTACCCGTGAGCGGAATAAGGAAATGCGTATTGCGGGATAAGTTGACGGTGAAATGCCAGAGTACCAGCCCTGGAAGGTGCCATGACTCGAGGTGGTGGGATAAATTTCTCCATCACTGTAACTTTTTAAGCAAAACATACAAGCCGATCACAATAGCAATAAATAAATGTAAACGCAAGGAGACGGAGAGCAGCAAAATATATATGCAAAATGAAACAATCATCCACAATCCCAACTGCCATATTTATGTACGGTTCGATGGCTGATTAAGGGGTTAAATGATTACCACGCGGTGAGGCAGAAGTTGGATGATTCTTTTGAGCACCAAAAGATGCAATATTACAGTTTGCTCTTCTTCCATCAATCACAGGAAATTGATTATAGCAAGCCCTCATCGCTGAATCAGCATCCTTGAACGTCACCTAGAATACCATAATCAAAACTAAGTTGAAAATCCCAAGATTGACAAAAATAAAAAGTCAGATAAAGAGGCGAAAAAAGAGAAAGATAGAGGGAACGTGCTTACAAAGCCATAACCTTTTGATCTTCCTGTACTTTTATCATTAATAACTACAGCTTCTATTATCCCTCCGAACTGCTCAAAATAACGTTTCAAGGTCTCTGTTTTAGTCTTCCAAGCCAAACCTCCGACAAATATCTTGGTGTAAGTCGTGTCACCAAACTCTGTGGCATTGGTTTCACCCGCCATCTTATTTGGCCCTGGCTCAGACATGGAAAGAACCCAGGCGAGAATCAGCACCTAAAAGCCAAAATACACCGGGAAAAGGGAAGACAAGTGAGAAAGAGCCGTTGGCTGACAAAATAATGGAGTGAAAGCAATCACATCAACCCTCCACAACAACTTCAATCAATAAGCTTTTGCTTATCTCTCGTATCTTTTCCTATCAAAACCTTCCTAGATTTCCACAGCCAACTCACCTTAGATCTCCCAACAAAGATACCCTAAACGAGAAAGTTATCACTGTTTAGAGGTATGAAAATTGGAGTAAACAAAAAGAAAACCTACACAACCTATCACCCAAACAAATAGGGAAAACCCTTGTACTATTATTGTAGATTTTAGGGTACAAGTGGGCGCAAAAAAAAAAAAAAAGAAGAAATTAAGGGGAATTTCCTATGAAATTAAATACAAACACCTTTATTTCCGTTTTCATTTTTTATTTAATAAATTAATACTTACCATACTTTAAAATGGGTCCAAAGATAAATGCCTTGCTGTATCCAACTCTCCAGCTTTCTTCTTTCCTCGTCTGCTGTAATTTGTTTATGCATATATTCCTTTTCCATGTATTACTATACATAAAATTATTGATCAAATGAATAATGCACATATATATATATGTATATATATATATATATATATGGAGAGAGAGAGAGAGTAATTTATTACCTGTGGAATATGTACGTAGTAGTATAGATGTTTTAGAAGTCATTATTAAAAGACATATTCGTTGACGGTCACCTTCTCTACCGCTTCAACAGCCGCTCATTCAGCAATTTATAACCTATTCTTCTTCCTTTTTATTTTATTTTATATATATATATTTTGTTGGATAATAAATACTTGTAATTAAGTTATTCTTTCTAATGCAAATCGAAAGAACGTGCTTCCGATTCGGTCCTGTTGTATGAGACAAACCGTTGTTTTAGCCTACGAATTTTCTATGTGATAGTTAACAGTATAAACAACTATATATTGACCCCAGTCCTCAATGATTAAAAGAATATGTCAATAGTTGATAAAATATTAAAATTTTAATTTTAGTATCAGTCGAAAAGATTTATACTTTGATAACTTTAAATATAAAAAAATAATTAGAAAAAATGATTATGGATCTTATTATTCATGAAAACATGATAATCAAATAGAAAATAAAATCATGTAATGAAAGTTTGAAAATAAAACCAATTAGTGAAAATTTTGCATTTGGATAGTTTTCACATCCAAAAAAAAAAAAAAAAAAAGAGAACATCATAAATAGTTTCTATACTATTTTAAGTATAGAAAATAAGTGACGAAGTTGCTGATTTCGTTTATCATACCTTAAGTTTGAGAAGCAAGTCAAAAGTCTAAACCTCTATGTAGTAGTAAAGTAGTAATTAACAAACTTAATTTGATAAATCATGTCAGTGCACATATTGAGTTTTGAGTTTTGTTAAAGTTTTGGGCATGCCCATGGTCGTATGGCGGCCGATGCTTCCTATAAGGGTTTGGTCCATTATGTTAATAGGTTGGGTCGGGTTAGGCCTTGTTGATGTTTAGATCAGTCTTTTTCTGTTTGTCTTACTTTGTCTTAGTAAGGTTAAAATTTTTTAAAATATTTAAATATTAAATATATTTTAAAATTAAAATTAAATAAATATTCTAATGCATTAATAATTTTTTTGGCCGAATCAAGTTGAATTGAAACTTCAAAAATTTTCTAAAACTTAATTTGAGTTGAATCAAATTTATCAAGTTGAATAAATGATTGAATCAATTGATTATATATGTGTTTAATGATTTCAAATTGATCACACTTTTAAATTTAAAGTTTAGTCCAAATGATTCACACATCTTTTTCGAGAGATGACTTTTAATAAATTTAAGGTTCTTTCCTCTATTGCAACCCGATATCCCATGGGACAATATCTCTTCTTGACTCTAATTTTTTTTGAAGCTAAATGGGTAATTGTTGGGCTCTTCTTAGATCGAGTGAAGATTCTTGCCTAAGAGCTGTCAATGCCAAGCCTGATCTGAAAGTTCTGCAGGTGGTGAAGATGGATGAGAAGGCATTAGAGTTCAGAGCACCGCTTCATGTTAAAGATGTATTGGTGAAATTTTCAGGCTTGGGTATTGGTTTATCAAAGACGGTGGCGGACCTTCTTAACCACGAGTTGAAGATGGGGAAGTTTTACTACATTCTTCCTTTAGTTGATCCTGTTGGAACTCCAACTCCTGAAACTAATTCAACCGTGGCTGATACACAACAAATCGGTGGTGTTAAGAGAATAAAAGTGGTTATAACGAAGCGAGAGCTTCGGCAATTGTTGACGAAGCAAATATCAGTGGAGGAGGTTCTTGTGTCACGTGCTTTGGTCTTGAGCCTAGCAATCATGCGGCCTTAGGCTGGAAACTTATGTTCAAGTATGCCTAAATCAGTCTTTAACAAAGTTGAGTGAGTATGCACACAAAGAAGACAATTGGGGAAAGAATACAAAGTCTTTTGTTGCTCGAAACAAATATGGCTTTACACAAATGTGCTTGAGTATCTTGGGTGGCTTATAAGAACACTAACTCTCATACATGTTCCTAAGGGGAGAGGGCACCCCTATTTATACATAAACCCCTATGGCCTATGTGTGGCTATCATCTACATTCTAAAGGGTTCCAAGGCCTCTAAACACATACAAGGTTGGTTGGCAGTCTTTAGAAGGGTGCTGGGTACAAACATTCTATAGTGCACTGGTTCAGAAGTCTCCTGGCTCTCCTAGTAGAATTCCCACACCCAAGCCTTTCTGAAGTTTCATTGTCTGGGCGTTACAGTATTTTTAGCCATTTGCGCACTTGGCCCTTCCAGAAGGTTTCATGCTTGCCCCTTTGGCCTGGGTGATGCTTATCTAGAGCCTTCTCATGTCTACTACCCGCACCATCATTCTAGAGCTCTTTAGAATCTTCTGGCGCAAGGTCCTTTGGCTTAACCTTAGGCAATTCTGACAGAGACTTATTTCGTGACTTGGTGCCTAGCCGAGGGTTTGGCCCCTTTGCGCTGATGCTCAAGCCTTGGCCTTGCGAGGTGTGACATTCTCCCCCTCTTGTTCCGTCGACGCCGTCGTCACATTTACTTCATGGAACTTATCGATCTATTCTTGGAATTATCACAATGCCTCTGCTGACTCCCAACTTATCTCATTATCTGGCTGACCTTTCCATTTTACTAAGTATTTGAGCCTGGGCATGTGCTGTTTCTATCGCACCATGCTGTCTGCTAAGATGCATTTAACCTCTTGGTCATAAGAGGCCTTAATGCCTACTGGTGCTTTCTTTGATTGGCCTCGAGTGGGATTATCCAAGTCTTCGTGATATGGTTTGAGCATACTTATATGGAAGATCGGGTGTACCTTGAGCCTTGGGGGAAGCTTAAGCTTATATGCAACTTTGCCTATTCGTTTTAGAACTCTAAAAAGACCTTCATATCTTTGAGTAAGCCCTTTGTGCATCATTCAATTTCGTAACACCTGTAGATTGACCAGTACCAAGTCTCTTACTTGATATTGCACATTTCGTCGCTTTTGATCAGCCCATTTTTTCGATCGTTTTGCTGCCTTGTACAGACATACTCGAGCTAGATCGGTTTGTTCTTACCATGCCTTGGCAAACTTGTAGGCTGCTGGAGTTGATCTCGTGTACCCTGTGATAATCACACTCGGTGTAAATGGCTGTTGTTCCGGTCACGATCTCAAATAGACTTTGATGTGTAACCTTGCTCCACTGAAGGTTATAGGAGAACTGAGCTACATCTAGCAGTTTGGGCCAGTTTCATTGTGAGGCACTAACATAGTGCCGAAGATATACTTTCAATAAGGCATTCGCTCTCTTAGTCTACCCATCCGTTTGAGGGTGCATCGTGGTGAAGAATCTCAAGTCCGATCCTAAGAGCTTGAATAGCTCATTCCAGAACCTGTCCGTGAACCATCCATTTCGATCATTGATGATGGATTGGAGAACACTCTAGTATTTGACCACATTCTTGATGAACAATTGGGCTGCTTCTTCTGCTGGGCATTCGTTGGTTGCTGGTATGAAGGTTTCATACTTGGAGAACCTATCCACCATTACAAATATGCTGCTATACCCGTCCACCTTGGATAGGTCGATTATGAAGTCTATGGAGACATTATTCCATGGGCACTCAAAAACTGGCAATAGTTCTAAGAGGCCGATTGGTGACTTTTGTTCTATCTTGTCTTGTTGATATGCAAGGCAAGTTTTAACATAGGCCTCCACATCGTCTCTCATCCTAGGCCAATAGTATTGGTCCTCAATAAAGGCTAAGATGAGGTGCACACCTGAATAGCCTGCCCATTTAGAGTCATGACACTCATTCATGACTTCTTTTCGTAGCTTATTGAACTGTAGGACAAAGAGTCGGTTCCCTTTCGTGTAGAGCAAATCACCTTCGAACCAAAATCGCCTAGTTTTCCCTTGTTTTGCGTATTCAATTAAAGGTTTGGTTGTGGGGTCTTGGGTCAGCCCTTCTTTGATACGCGCCACTAAAGACCTTCTGTCCTACTAATTGCTACTAGTTTGGCCTTGCGATTGAGTGCATCAACCACAACATTGGCCTTTCCTGGTTTTACTCTATGATGAAATCGAACTCAACTAAAAAATCTTGCTAACGAGCTTGTTTAGGAGTAAGCTTCTTTTGATTTTGGAAGTAGCTGGTTGCTACATTATCGGTCATAACTGTGAACTTGCTTTCCAACAAGTAATGCCTCAATGTGTGTAGACAATGTACCATGGCAGTCATATCTTTCTTTTAGACCATATATTGAGGCTCTATCTCATTGAGCTTTCTACTTTTAAAGGCAATGGGGTGCCAGTCTTGCATCAAAACACTACCAATGGTAAATTCAGATGCATCGGTGTGTACCTCAAATGGCTTGGTGTAGTCGGGGAGAGCTAGGGCTAGCTTCTCGTTGACAGCTTGCTTTAGACGGTCAAAAGCCTATTGGCTCTTGGGACTCAATTCCCAAATTTGACCATTCTTGAGCATATCAGTTAAGGGTGTTGTGATGGTCGAGTACCCCTTTATAAAACATCGATAGTAGTTCACCAAGCTAAAGAACGATCGTGGTTGGCAGCTTCCATTCTTGTATGGCCTGGACCTTGTTATCATTCATCCGAATTCGACCATTCCCATAATATGGCCTAAGAATGAGATCTCATGCTGGGCAAATGAACATTTCTCCTTCTTTATATACAGCTCATTCTCCTTTAATACTTGGAACACTTGTCACAAGTGATCCATATGCTTATCAAACGTCTGACTATAGACAACAATGTCATCAAGGTATACTACAACAAATTGATCAAGGAAAGGTTGTAGTATTTTGTTCATCAGGGTGCAAAATGTTACAGGTGTATTCGTGAGATCAAAGGCATAACCAGGAACTGGTATGCCCCATAACGAGTTACACATGCTATCTTCGATTCATCCCCTTCGACTATCTTCACTTGATAGTATCCCGATCTTAAATCCAGCTTGGTGAACCATCGTGTTTTTCTAACTGATCGAACAAGTTGGCAATAAGGGGAATGGGATACTTGTTCTTCATTGTAAGTTTGTTTAGAGCTCTATAGTCGATGCATATCCGTAATGATCCATCATGCTTCATTTGGAAGAAGACTTGTCCACCATATGGAGCTTTAGAGGGCTTGATGAACCCCGTATCTAAAAGCTCCTTGAGTTGTCTCCTTAGTTCCTGCAACTCTAGGGGTGACATCTTATACGAGGCTCTGGCTGGTGGCGTGGCATTGGGTACTAGCTCTACGTTATAGTTTACCTCCCTCTTGGGTGGTAGCCTCTTGGGCAATTCTACAGGCATGACATCCTTGGAGGAGTTTAACACCTCTAGCACTTCCAATGGGGTGTTGTTGTTTGGCCCTTGAGGCTCATCCTCCTTTAGTGCCACTAAAAAGGTAGGCTCTTCCTTACGCATGCCCTTGGCGAGCTGGATGGCAGATATTGCCTTGGTTTCAGTCTCTTTCTCACGCTTCACCGAAACAATGTATTAGCACATTGGACCAAGATGCAAATGCAATTGGCGAAGGGAATAAGTAGTGCATTGATACTATCAAGGAAATCCAAATCGATAACAAATTCATAGTCATTGAGAGGATTACCTAGATGGATTCCTTGTTTTTTCATGCTTCAAGCTGCAACTCGACTTCTTGTGCTGTGCTTACAATAGGAACCTCTTTGGAGTTGACGGTCTTAATCCATCCGGCTTTTTTTTTGACCTTAGCCCAAGTCTCTTGGCCACTCCTTCAGACATGAAAAGGTTTGACGCACCTGTGTCTACTAGGGCGTTCAAGCGCTTGCCTGTAACAAGCTCGGCAAACATGAGCCACTTTCTTTTACGCCCATTTTCTGCTAAGTAGAACTTAGCATGATCGAACCAAGCTTCAATCTCTCATTCTCGGGTTACTCCTTATGCCCCGTGACAATGGCCATAAGCTTGGCTCTATTAGGACAATCCCTGGCTCGGTGAAGCATCACACAGAAAATAAGTTGTGGGTTTATTTTTTGGCCATTTGGTCTTTTTTTGTTCCACTCCTTGTTGGACTTCCATTTGTGTGTTGAGGGCTTGCCACCTCTACTCTTGTCCTTATCTCCCCCACCTTTGCCCTTGCCCTTAGGCTTGGAAGACTGGACTTGTCTTCTTTCTTGAATTCCAATAAGGATTTAGTGGCTGTCATGGCTTGGGTGAGATCTTGAACACCCATCCTCCTTAACTCTTGCTTGGCCCATGGCTTGAGTACATCCATGAATGCAAAAAGTGCCTCGTCTTCCCTAAGGTTGGGAATTTGGAGCATAAGTTTGGAGAACTCTTGAACATATTCCTGCACCTCTCCCGTGGGTGAGCCATCGAAGCTTGGCGTGTGCCTCCTTTGCAGCATACTGTGGGTAAAACTGCTGCCTAAACTCCCTTTGGAACTCTTCCATGCTTTCAATGGCAGCACCCTCGCGCCTAGTCTCCTCGGTCGTATGACGCCACCATAGGATAACAATATCCACAAGATTCATAAAGGCGGTGCTTACCTTCGCAGCATCCTCCTTGATGCCCATTGCACGAAAATATTGCTCCATGCCTCATAAGAAATTGTCTACGTCCTTTGTAGACCGTGTTCCCTTGAACTTCTTTGGCTTGGGAACCTCCACTCTCGTCTTAGGAGTCATTGTGAGTATGCCTCTTCCTACGGCTAACTCGCACGCAGAGAGCCTCTTCTTGAGTTGCTCCATCTCCTCCCTCATAGCCTTCACCAGGGGTTATAGGGTGGAGTTCTTATGGGTAAGGCTTTCGATATCTTCGGCAAGAGTTTGTTTTAACTCTTTCGTGATCTCCCTTCCCGTTGAGACCAACTCTTCCACTTGGTCTTCATGCTTGTCTTGCATTTTAGCCACGGCCAATTCCACCTTGGCCAACCGAGCATCAAAGGCCGACATCACGTCGCCTTTCTTGCCCTTTCCAGTAGTGCGAGTCTCGCGAGTCTCTTGCCCCTCAACGTGCTGATAACTCACTTCTGAAGTAGACATCGTCTTGAATCGAAAGTGCGCTAAACCATGCTCTGATATCAACTATCACGTGCTTTGGTCTTGAGCCTAGCAATCGTGCGACCTTAGGCTGAAAACTTATATTCAAGTATGCCTAAGTCAACCTTTAACAAATTTGAGTGAGTATGCACACAAAGAAAGCAATTGGGAAAAGAATACAAAGTCTTTTGTTGCTGGAAACAAATGTGGCTTCTCACAAATGTGCTTGAGTATCTTGAGTGACTTACAAGAATACTAACTCTCATACATGTTCCTAAGGGGAGGGGCACCCCTATTTGTACATAAACCCCCATGGCCTATGTGTGGCTATCATCTACATTCCAAAGCCTCTAGACACATACAAGATCGATTGGCAGTCTCTAGAAGGGTGCTGGTTTCAGACACTCTATGCTGCACTGGTTCCAGAAGTCTCCTGGCTCTCTTGGCAAAATGCCCACGCCCAGGCCTTCTTGAAGCTTCACTGTCTAGGCGTTATAGTATTTCTAGCCATTTGCGCACTTGATCCTTCCAGAAGGTTTCGTGCCCGCCCTTTTGGCCTGGGTGATGCTTATCTAGAGCCTTCTCATATTCACTGCCCGCACCATCATTCTGGAGCTCTCTAGAACCTTCTGGCGCAAGGTCCCTTGGCTTAACCTCAGGCAATTCTAGCAAAGACTTGTTCTCGTGACCTGGTGCCTGGCCGAGGGTTTGGCCTCCTTGCGCTGGTGCTCAAGCCTTGGCCTTGCGGGGTGTGACACTTGCAGGGCTTGACAAAAGAAATGGTTATTTTGTTGTATCTCCAAGAAATTGGAAGCCAAAGCTCGAACCCATTTTGGAAGAAAACGACTAATTGTTAACAAAGTAACTAGATTTCATATGTTTCGTTAACTCTTTGAACTTCAGGCGCAACATATATGCTAGTCCCCCCAAAAAAATATATATATATATATAATAAATATAAATTGAATTACCTGAAATGAAAAGAAATTGTAGCATGAACAGAGTTTCATTTTCATTCGCTTTCATCACAGCATAATTTTTTAAGTTTGATGTTGTGAAACGACAATGAAAAATGATTTTATGATCCCTTGCCCAGTTATTAGGCTTTGTGTGACAACTAGAATATTGTTGCATGTTAACCGGTCTAATCACTACTGGAACAGGTTTTACATTTATTCTCTTGATTTAACTGTAAATTGTTATAACATTTCATCAGAAATTTGGCAATTGAAAATTGGTTCAAGATTGATTCAATGCCTTGAGAAAGTGGGAAAATTTGAGTATGAACGTTAGACTCTGTTTCATTGTCTAAACCAAACTCAGGCTTAATGGAACATGTCCATAGCAGGAAGAGGACCATTTTCGTATTCCACCACAAGCCTTGTTTCTCTATTACTCTTACTCATGGTCTACAAACACTGTGAATAGGACTGGTAATTGGAATTGGTAAGCAACTAGACGAAATTAAAGAAAATAACCAGGTGCAAACTCCCCAAAGAAAGAAAACATTGATTAATAGCTTCAAAAGAAAAACATCTAAGTACCCATTAGCATTTAGTACACTACAATTACAGAGACATTCCTATACCAAGCAAGTTCTACACAAAATTTAAGATCACATAAGATAAAACATAAAAACAACGGCACCCTCTTGAAACCCGCAAGTGTTTTACTGAATTTGTACATCCATAACCTGGCGCTCAACTTTTGTCTTAGGAATGGTGATGAAGAGAACTCCATTCTTGAGCTCTGCCTTGATCTTATCTTTCTCACAGTTGTCTGGCAGTTGGAGACGAGTATCATAGGAACTGTAGCTCCTACTTGTCCAAGAATCATCTCCGCTTTCTTCCTTTTTGTGCTCTCCCTTGATAACTAGAATATCATCCTCTACTGAGACCTTAACGTCCTCTTTTGCGAGTCCTGGCATGTCAAATCGCATTTTGATTTCACGTTCATCATCTTTGATGTCCCACGGTGCACGCACATCTCCCACTGTTCGGTTCCTGCCGGGCAATGTCATGGCATCCTCGAATATCCGGTCCATTGTGTCTAACATTTGACGCATTGATCTCATAGGAGACAAGGGGTCCAACAAATCTGTCATCCACGGATCATGTTAAGATCATTTGAATAAGTAAAGCTGAAGTTTGGCCCCAATTTTGAGAAAGAAAATAATCAAAACCTTCCCATATTCTCAATTCAAAAGAGAGAACACTAGAAGAGATGAGTGCAGCACTCCTCACAAGCCAATAGTGAAAAACAGGGGAAGGTGTCAACGTATTAATTCTTTTCGAACTAAAGGTTTTGTTAGGGTTTTAGAAAAATTCATCATAACAGCCATATTCATGATTCAGCTGTAATAAACAAATGTCAAACTATTGCTATAAACAACAAAAAATACACCGATTAGAAAAGAGCTAAATACTTACCAAAAGGAGAGAGGTCCACAGCCAACCGTTTGGGCCTCTTCTCAACAGCTGTCCTTTGATTATCTTTGCTAACGTGCACGTCCACCGCCGTATCCTTGTTATCCCCAGCAGCCTGTGCCCTTACGACAGAGAGACGGTTGTTGGAAGAATTCTTAGATGGAAAAGAGACAGAGAATGGCAAAATAGCTTTAGGGGAAAAAGGCCGATTAGCCCTGTTTGATACAAATATTGGAGAAGATGACCAAGACAAAGTTGAAGCCATTGCTATAACAAAAAATTGAGAGGCAAGTGCCTAAATAATAAAGAGAACCTTCTTGTTCTTCCGATGTCTATTCCTTTGAGCTGGTGAAGTAAGAAAGGTGGATGGTGAATATATATAGGCGAAGGGAGACAGACTGTGCTCTGTGCATGGCCCAAAAACAGGGGAAGTTCGGAGAGGGATCTCGAAAGTTTGAGTGAGGGTATGAATGTTCTGGACCTGTCGTTTACTTATAACACGCTAGGGCTTTTCTAGTCTTTCCGGAAAGATCCAGGATTTGCATATTAAGGGGCAAGAAAAGGATATTTCTACATTGACCCCGATAGTTTTGTTTTTTTTTTTTAATTCTCAGATAAGCCAGTGTTCTATAGGAAACCTTGTGTTAGATTCTCTTAAACGTACTACAACAAAGTGCAGTCTGCCAGATTTTCTTGTTCTTTGGTCTTCTGCATCCGTTACAGAATCTAGCCTCTTCCTCAAAAAGCTGAGAAAAGAGCAAAGAGAAGACAATCGTATGAAAAAAGATTCTGTAAAATCCTTCAAAAATTCCTTTTTGCGCTTGTTTTCCTTGCCACCAAAGAAAAGAACGGAAAGAAAAAGGGAAAAGAATTATTAAAAAAAAAGAGGGTTTTGGGGGGAACGGGGTAAATGCAAGTAATAACGACCTACATCAAAATAGGATGCCCATGGTTTTGATTCCAACACAGAAAAAAGTTTCCATACAATTGGAAAACCATGTGGTAACAAATTTTTTTAATGCAAAAGAATGTTTGATTGCATGTGATCATACATTTGGATTATCATAGGAAAGTTTCAGCTTACATGCGAGTACATTATTAATATACTAGTAGTATAGGAGAGAAGAATACTGAAATTAGATTTAAACCTACTAATCAAAGATTTATAATTTTAATTTAAACTTTGCTATGGTATTTGTTCTGTACAATTTTCATGGAATGTTCCTACGTGATGAATCAATAACATATTTTACCCCCCCCCCCCCAAAAAAAAAAAAAAAAAAAACAAGAAAACTACTACTCCCTTACACTCCAAGCTGGTCTGCTATTTGCTATCTTACAAGCATTATTGGCATTTACCTGAGCGAACAAGCGCATGGGGAAATGAAAACTGGCGTGAATTAGTGACTGTATGGTAGGACCACCAAGATGGGAATCCAAGGGACCTTCATACAGGCCAGCCAAACATTTTCTGAGCTTGAATCAACGAGACTCCAAAAACAAAAGGTCCAGGTTTTGACTGGTCTATCCCCTGAACAAAGCAACCTCTGCCTTCTGCCCTGCGTCCTTTTCTTCTGTAAAGATAATTCTTTCTTTAAATAAATTCACCATTCAAGGGTATTTCATTTTTGGCTTCAACCAATCCCAAAATAGCACGTCAAACGATCAATTTCCACCATAATTGCTTGAGATTACTAATTTAGCCCTGAACTTCCACGTGTTCCATACCCACTGGCCGATCACTAGAACTCGGTTAAACTGAACAGTATCCAACTCTTGGACAGGAAACTATAATAGTAACACAGTTCCCAAAAAAGCACAATTATCTCTCAAAACTCAATAGGCACTTCTTTGACACGTGAAAGAGCCGAAAGATCCCAATACTTGGTCGTTTTTGCAGCTGAAAGAGCCTCTTTGAGAAACATGAAAGCAAAAGCTTGCCCCTATTGTTCTTCTCTTTCCTGAACTCTAATATCCGTCCAACTTTCATCGTTATCGAGGGCTACTCACTTTTTCAGGTTGTCTGAAACTGCCTGACACAGAATTCCATTAGTGTTCTCCACGCCACAAGAAAACACCATATCTTTTAGTTATACACTGCACACGTTAATTAACGTTACAAAGCTTAATATAATCCAGTGTCTGTTCCCAAATGCAAGGACGAGAAAGCAATGCTAAGCGCCCTATAATCAGTTGCTGCCAGAATAATTTTATTTCCTTTCCTTTCATTTATATCTCTGAGCCTTTTGCATTTAAGGATACCAACTACTCCATATGGAGAAGCTCCTATGAGGCTATGAAATAAAGCTCCATTTTCATTATATGTAGCCGGCTTCATTTAGCTTGGTTTTTGTGTCTACTCTTCTATGGGGAAGATCGGAGGAAACTCTTGGTTGACTGCAGTGAAGAAAGCTTTCAGGTCACCAACCAAGGAAAATGAGAAGAGGAGCTGTAGAAGGAGAGAAGATGGCGAACAAGAGGAAGAAGAGAAGGTTAGTCTGCTTAGCTTTTCTCTATGACTTTGTTGTCTTGAATATTTTTGCGTGCGATGAACTTTAATTCAATTTTCTTTTCCTTGGATTGTGCAGAAAAGAGGAAAACGAAGATGGATTTTTAAGAAGCCTTCATGTCAGGAAACAGCAATACAACACAGTGAAGCAAGGACCATAACTACAACTTTTAATGCTAAAGCGACCACCAACTCTGAAACCTCAGCACTAAATAGTATTCCTGAAGCTGAGCAAAGACATGCCATTGCGGTGGCCATAGCCACCACAGCAGCTGCTCAAGCAGCAGTAGCAACAGCCCAAGCTGCTGTAGAAGTTGTTCGCCTCACGAGGCCTTCCATTTTCGTCAGAGAACACTTTGCTGCCATTGTTATACAGACAGCTTTCAGAGGCTATTTGGTAACAGAATAGAAATACTTAATTTCTTGCACTTTGAACTGCTGTCATAAGCAAAGATATTGGGATTAATAACCAATAGTTGTGGTTTTGAAGGCAAGGAGAGCTTTACGGGCACTTAAGGGGCTGGTGAAGCTGCAAGCTTTAGTGAGAGGCCACAATGTTCGAAAGCGAGCGAATATTACTCTTAGATGCATGGAGGCTATGGTTCGTGTGCAAGCCCGCGTGCGTGATCAACGTAAGAGGCTTTCTGCGCATGAAGGAAGCACAGACTCCATATTCAGTGATCCCAACAGTTTATGGAGCTCGCATCTTGTAGACAGGAGGTCCATTGTAAGAAATGCCACTTACTCAAAGATCACTTGTGTTAAGTTTCAAGCCTTCAACTGGCAGCACCCTGATTTGTTTTTTTATTGGCCTGGTAATTTATGATGCAGTCAAGAGAAGAGAGCGGCAATGTCGATGATTGGATCCATTGGGACGAGCACCCGAAAACACTGGAGGAGATTCAAGCCATTTTGCAGAAAACAAAGGAAGCAACCTTGAAACGTGAAAAGACTCTAGCTCATGCCTTCTCTCACCAGGTTGATCTTTCGATCTCTCACCTGTCTTTACATGACTGCGGTGTTCTTTGCTAAATTTACGAAATCACTGATGAAACCATTTTCTGCATCTGTTTCATGAAAAAGATTTGGAGAACTGACAAAGACAATGTCGAAAGTGAGGAAGAGCTTGACGGAAAAATCAGATGGGTTGATCGGTGGGCAACAAGGAAGCAATGGGAGGGAACGGGCAGAATGTCGTGTGACCACATAGATCCAATAAAAACTGTTGAAATTGACACATATAAGCCTCACTCTTACTCAGCCCCCCATTCCCACGAATCTAACCTTCAATATCACTACCAACAACAAAGGCCTATTTCTTTTTTTGTCGCATCCCCCCTCCACAAAGCCAACAGTAGTCTCCCCATTCGCTCAAAAACTCCATCTCCGTCTAAAGCAAAGCCTCTCCAAATGTACTCAGCTAGCCCTCGCTACCTCAAAGATGAGAAGAGCCACCCATCACCTTACACACCAAACTGTGGATCCTACAAACATAGAATAAGTGGTAATGCATGGGCTGCTGCAGCAATGCCTAACTATATGGCTGCTACAGCATCTGCTAAGGCTCGGTTCCGATCACAAAGTGCACCAAAGCAGAGGCATTCAATCCCAGAAAGAGAGAAAGTAGGATCTGCCAGAAAACGTCTCTCATTTCCAGTTCTGGACAAATGTGGTGTTGATGGGAGCAAAGATCAAGTTTATGATTATAACTCGGGGAGTCCAAACTATAAGAGCGGTCATGGAGGCCATTTTGGCATGGAGCAGAAGTCCAACATGTCTTCTTGTTATGCAGATAGTCTTGGCGAAGAAATCTTCCCACCTTCAACAAATGATCTTAGGAAGTGGTTGAGGTAAACCAAGCAAGTGCTCCGTTGCTCCAGGTGAAAAGAACAAAGGCAAAGCTGGTGATAATTGATGTTTATTCCAATGAGAAAGCTAGGCCTAGAACCGCATGTAGATGATGGGAGTCAATTATGACAGTGCCTCGAGAAGTATGTCATTTGGCAATTAATGATTAAAACTTCTATTATCATCGTAAGTAATTATTCGCAAGTCATCAAGCAACCTCACTGGACCGCTTAAGAAATCTAAACAATGAATGTCGTTCGTCTTACAGAAACATTTTCGAACCTGCATTTTCAATATAAGAAAATAACAATCGTCAAGCCCCTTGAGCTTGGCCCACTGAGCAATTTGATTTTTTTGGATGAGGCATAAAATTTGTATTTATCTAAAGAAAGCAGGAATGTCCTGATATAAACGACGACATTGCAAAAGCAGATTTTTTTTTTTTTTGTTTTTAAAATCATGAAAGAACGCTTTTATCAAGCGAATAAGATCCTGCAACTCAATTATTCATTAGTAATTCTTTATCAGCAGCTCACAAAATCAAATATTCTGCAGTGCTCAAGAGAATCAAGGCCATTGCTCATGACATGCAAGTTAAGTAACTCTAAAACGTATGAATGAAGGTACAATAAACTTGGAAGAAAGCTAAGAATGGCACACCTAATCATACAGAATCAATAGACTGCAACACTTAAAATTTAATATTACCTTGCTTATGTTAGATAAGGTTCGGTCGAGTGGATTATATAAGGCTCTGCCATTGCGCCATATTCCCATGGTCTCCACCATGGATTTAAATAGTGTCTACCAATAATGGCCGCTATTTAACGGGAGCCTTACCTTCCATCATCATTGTTCATTATAATGAAGGTGTGAATCACATTCATACATTCAGCAATATATCGAATCCGTAAATAATGATATAACAAAAAATTACAATCATAACAGGATATTAAAATTAAAATATCATAAATTATTTTAAATATTTTAAATAAATATTATTATGATCAAATAATTCTTTTGTTTCATTCTATAATAACTTGTAAAAATTTTAAAAAAATTTCATAATCGTAATGAACACAACCTTCATTATTATATTTATTATATTCGAAATTACAATAAATGTAACATAATTGAAAACGTAGTCGTGCATTTTAAATCCTTGATATCCACAAGTAATACCTGACAGGTAGGATGAGAGAAATTCCTACCTCATCAACAGACATTAGATTTTTTTTTTCTTGAAAGGGTTGCTCCACATGAAAGTGTAATTCATAGCCGGTACAACCAACAGTGGCTTGCTGTAGATCAACTCCAATGCTCGCGCGCCGCACCATTAAAGAGAAAAACTGCAATTTGATAAAAAAAAAAAAAAAAAAACTAACAGAGCAAACTGCAAAACAACCATAATTGTCTATTAGGCCTCAGACGGTATTGAGCCCTAAACGTATACTAAATAATATTCCCGAGAATTGGCCTGCCATTGCAATGGTCCATTCGGCCGAAGAGATTTGCGTGGCTCCAATATCTAAATTTAGTAGACGCCAGATACTCGACTTTTGACAAGCTGTGGCTGTCTTTCTTTTTGGAAAATATATTCAAAGATAAAGTTGAATTTAATCACCAAATTTCCAGGGTTTCAAGACCTTCCTAAGCGTTCTTTATACTAATATCTTTTATTCAAATTTGATTATCTTTTGACATTTGGAAGTAGAAGAAAAATGAAAAATGAGAATAACTGCAATACTTAAAATGTTCCATGCTTTGCTAAGTTTGATTCTAGATAACAGATAGGGAACAAAGTAATCATCTTATCTTCAGGGAGTCTATAGTAGATTTTTTTATTTATTTCTCCCAAGTCAGAGAGGTGGGACCTTCATAGCTGAAAGGCGACCATTCTATTTACCTCTTTGCAATGATCTAAAAATCAAAATGCTTTAAGCTTCCGTCCTCTAACACAAACAACATTTTCGGATAAATTCTATTCTTTTAAGTCCACAAAATGACAATAATAAGTTCTTAAAAGAACCACGACCAATTACAAAACCAAGTCACGCTATTAAAAAAAAAAAAAACATATCCGTTTGTGGTAAATTCTTGGGTTCATTTCCTGTAACAGGGTGTACTCTTGTAAGTAAATAGAATTTTTAATGAATTATTTATAAATATGTTTAATTTTTTTATTTATATTTATTATTAAATATTTTTAAATATTATTTATTAAATAAATTGAATACAAAAAATAATTTATTCGTTTATTTATATTCATGAATAAATTTATTTATTATTTATTTAAAATTTATTTATTTATTATTTGTTTATAATAATATTAATAAAATTATATTTTTATCTTTTATTTTAAAATTTATTTATATTTATTTAAATTTATTTATGTGCATTTAAAATTTATTTGTTTAAATTTATTTATTATTTATGAATTATTTATTTATATATATTTATTTAATGTTTATAAATAAATTCATTTAATTTAATTAAATATCAAACATAAATAATTTATTATTTAAATAAATAAACATAAACAAACAAAATAAATTTCTTAATAAATACAAATCACATGAATACTTTTAAAAATAAATGAGTTAACACAAATATTAGTTACTTTATGTTCGATTCATTTACAGCCCTGCTAATTTCCTTTAAGCCAAATCAAACCAATCTCAGGTTTGGTCCAACGAAGCAAGAGTTCTTTGTAAAACACCAGATGGTGAAGACACCGCAAGCGCCGCTGGACTACAGGAATTTCCATTTCCGGTAACGGAAGATGATGGATTGGAGCTGCCTTCCGGGTCTTCTGTGGCAGTTGCGATCTTGCTTGGCCTTAAAACCTCTGCGAGTGGGCCTCCAGGTGTGGAAGCAGCCCAAGATGCAGGGGCTAACCAGCTTGAAAGGTGTGATTTGGAAGCATACTCATGGTTCTGATCAGATTCAGTCACTCCTAACCCCATATGAATAGGACCCAACTCGTCATCCCTGATATTATTGACTCCCATTGACGGAGAAGGTGAGGACAAAGAGAGCTTCCCATTAGAGGAAACAGAGGTTTCAGCTCCAGAGTTGGCTTTGTGGTCATCAGATATACCAGTAGACCACGCATCAACAAAGCCTCTTGGTGTACCTTTCGGGGACTTATCTAGCTGGACTATTTCAGAGTTGAGAAACAAAGGGCAACTAGTGCGTTGTTGATCTTCTGTACCACTGAAATTGGCATATGAATTCAAGTTCAGAGGTTCCTTGTTATAATTTTGGTTGTGAACAAAGGTGTTATCAGCATTGGAGAATGAACTGGCAATAGTTGGTCCCATTTGCATGAGATGATGCCGTTGTTGGTCAGATGAAGCCAGGGGAATGAGTTCATTCATAATCCAGTCCGAGTTCCTTCAATGAGAAAAGAAGGAATGCCAAAATTAGAGACAGAAAAAAGTATAATCAAAACTCGAAACACACACAAAAAGTAGTTTCTTCTTCTTTTTTTTTTTTGGGGGGGGGGGGGGTGGTGTTAATCACTAATCAAAGAAGGTGGGAAGAAAGCTTCAACTCACCTAGGTTCCTTGTAGGAAGAAACATAAGTCACAGGCCAAAATGTTGCAGCTTTTTCACTTGGCTTATCGAGAAAACAAGTGGTCTGATTCTGCTGGAAGGGCTGAGTAAGAGTTCCAACAAACTGAGATGGAGAAGCATTCTTAGTGAGAATAACAGAGGAAGATGAAGAAAGAGCTTGAGTATGGGCATGGGGGGTCTTCTTGTTCGTAAGTTCCACAGGCTTTCTTGAACGGGGACGACCTTTATGCATGTGACGCTCACAATACTTTTGGTAAGGCGCCACATCTTTAGAACACCTCCATTTTTTTCCATCTGTTCTCCTGCACCTCCCTGGCTCGAGATCTCTACTTGAGAAACTTAGATTTAGAGCAACACCACCCACTGCCCACAACAAAAAGAACAAAGTGTTTTTTCAAACAAAAAATCTTACATCTCTTGGCATAGCTAGAAAGCAACCCTCCACTTAGTGAATATGCCAGTCAGACAACAAAAGGAACAAATTTTCTCATTCAAGCAAAGACATCCCACCAGTAAACATGACAGGAATTGATGAATAAAAAGGTAAGGTAAATAGAAAGAGGGAGATTACAGGCAGAGTGGGAAGCAACTGGAAATGAGGGACTTCCGCCAATGGGAATGAGGAGATCAGGGGGCACGGGAACAGAAGCCATCAAGTACTTGTATATCATAGCTTGTCTCTCAAGCTCCTTCCACTGTGCACTTGTAAAAGGAAACTCCAAAGATGCCGCCATCCCTCCTGTTAAAAAAAATCAAATATCCAAATTGTCTGTCTTAGTCAAACAGACAACTTTACTCTCTCTCTCTCTGCCTTGCTCATTGAATAAAGATGAAGGTTTTTTTTTTTTTTCTCTCTTAAATGGATTAGTACAGATAATTTTCAGAGAGAAGAGAGAGCAAGAAAGGGGAGGGAAAGAGATAATTAAGAACGAGAAGAGACATGATACACTTTGCGTTGACTACGATGAGAAAAAGCAAAGGAAATTTCCACCTGGGGATCTGAGGGCGGTGTGAGAAGAGGAGGTTGTAGTGGGAGTAATGTTAAAAGGCTGCAGAGTCCTTACACCGACAGGCAGCAGCAGCAGCAGCAGCAGCAGCATTAGAACCAGAATCACTGCTAGCAAAAGACATCGTAAATATTATGGTCTTAGGCCTGTTGTTATTACCTGTGGGACCATTAGCATCAACATCACCAAAACCAATTGCATAAGGGGGAAATGGACTGTGATGATTATCATGGTGAACCATCATCATCTTCTTAGTTATTAATAATTCACAGCCAAGTCAACAGCTTCAATGCTACTACTCTTTGTTTGCCTTGTCTGAAACGCTAAAGCCAGCAGTGCTAATAATGAACCAACTTTCCCTATTTGGGAAACTGCCTTTTCCATTAAATAAACCACAAACCGCCTCCCCCTTTCTAAACTTGAAAGAAGGGTCTTAACAACCTCGAACTCTAAATCGTTTTGAATATGCAGAGAGTTGGGGAAAAGAAAAGGATAAATTTAAACCCAAGATTAAGCTAATGCTTATCTTTTTCCTTTTTTCCTCTTCAAATGACACGACCTTATAAATCTTTTGAAAAAACTAGCAAAATTTCTCTCTAAATGACTCGGTGATGTGATGTGAATAATGATGAGTGTGGTGTGGGGTTGATATGGGATTTTAGATTTCAGATATGGGGATGGGTTGCCGCCGTTCTCGGCCTCTGCTTTGCTTCCATGCTTCCAACATTCGCACCACACTAGTAGACAAAATAGTAAAAGCGATTCTCTCTCTCTCTGACTCAACCTCATCTCATTAATGTGGCATCTATCGTTTTCTTCATGCAAAGCTAAAACACCGTACTAAACCATTCCATTTATTTTTTATAATTTTCATTACTCGGAAAATCAACCACCGACAGCGTTTGGGCACCTGTCCAAATAATTTGTTTTAAGCTTAACCAAGTCAACGCTTCTCATTTAAATTTTTTAAAATAAAAAAGCACCTATAATAAATGCATCGGTTGTTGGGGGGCACGCGCACCATTAAGCTGTAATTAATGTTTTGTAAAAGTCAAATACCACTCATTGTAACAAAATAAAATTTTATTTGGAAAAACGATAAAATTAATTTAAATTAAATTAAAAAAAATAATAAAATTAATTATTATATTAATAAAATTAAAATTAATGTTGAGATATTTATTTGAATATAAAAATAATAATGACAATAAAGTAAATTTTAATAAAAAAAATATCATCAAGAATATTAATTTAAAAACATAATAACAAATTATTTATATATATTTTAATTTTATTTAACATTTAAATTCTTGAAAATTTATTCAATCAAAATATTAACCCATATTGAATTATATTAAAATAATAATTAAGATTTTAAGGATTAAAAAAATTGAAATATTTAATATAAAAAATACTTATAAAAAATATAACTATTCTTAAAATGATAAACAATGAAAAAACTAAAGCTATTAAACGATGTGTGTTTTTTATCATTATACTATAGTTTAGAGGGCAAAAAAAAAAAAAAAAGAGATAAAAGGGATGAAAAGAGAAAGGATCCGACTTTTGATAAAGAAAACATTCATCGGACCTTTGATGGTCCAGTTGAAAAATAAGCTGTAGCATGATGGATTAAATCTAACCGTGCCATACCAATGTCTGCCAAACAGGAGTATGGTGCGATTTGAGTCATATTCGCGTCGTATTAACCCTCACAACTAATCCAAACAGGCATTAAGAGTTCGTTTGTAAGCAAACGTACCCCTAATGGGGCTATCGTTTGCTTTAAAAAGTATGTGAAACGCGCTGAAACCTCTTTTGGATTTCATCGTGTTGTGTCAAAGTGTAATGGGTGAAAGGCAGGCCTTCTAGCTCCTGGGAGGCTTCTTCTCATAACTGTTACGGAGACGATTCCATCCTATTATATGTAATGCCGTGCTTTCCCCATTCTCATTTGTAGGGAGCTGCACAGGATTAATAAGAACTTTCTTTGGGAAGATACGGAGAATAAGTAGAAAATACACGTGCCTAACTGGGGTGAGGTTACTAAAGGAAAAAAAGGAGGCTTGGGATTAATGAAAGCAAAGACTTGGAACCAAGCTCAACTGACTAAATTGGTGTGGCGGTTTATGAACCATAATGAGGAACTTTGGGCATAGACCCTCCATGCCAAATACCTGGGACATGCAAATTGTCAGAAACCCAACCCGAACCCCGCTGTTACATGGGAGGCCATACGTTGGCCTGGTTCGGTTATGGAGAAAGGTCTTGGATGGGTGATTCGAGGTGGAGCAAATACCAATTTTTGGTATGACAAATGGGTTGGTGGATATACGATTCGAAATGTGATTTAAGGGCCTCTTAATAAAAACGAGGATCAGCTCAAAGTTAAAGTGATGCTTCATGCTTTTCTTTTCTAGAGAGACTTACCTATATCATTCCAACTGCCAAAGTCAGTGATTGATGCAATCAGAGTGGTCCTTTCTCAACTGTGTGGTCAAGAGGAGGATATTCCTTACTGGATAGCTTCTAAGGATGGAAACTTCACAACCCAGTCAGCCTATATTAAAACCATTCAGCTGCAAATGAGTAGTGTAGCGTAGTGTAGATAGAGTAGGAGTAGAGTAGTAAACGATTTTCTCACATTTTCTTGGCTGTCAAACAGCTTTACTTCCTCTCCACGAGTTGGTGGCTGTTTGGCTGGCATTTTCCAGCATTTCCTTGTTAAATTTCTGGTTTCAATGTTCCATTTACATTCCTTTATGTGTTACTTCAATTTACTTGCATTTCTTTTAAGCATTTACTTCAAATTAAGCTTTCAATTTCAACATTGTTTTAATTCTGTTCCAGATTTAGTGTTTCAGTTTTGAGCTACTATTTTGTTGAATTTCAATAACATTTTGATGTCAATTATTCTTAGGCATTTTAATACATATTCCTACATTAGTTAGCTCGCTTTACTAGCAGCTTGGAGATCAAACACCATGTAAATTGAGTGAAAATCGAAGGATAAAGTGGTGCTGTTCCAGATTCTATTTTTCAAATTGATGTGCGGTTTTGCTTGAGTATCTTTGATTTTATAGGCTTTTGAGCTAGATGAGGATGGTTAATGTTTGCTACTTGGTTGAAATCTCACCTATGAGGCAACATCTAACTTGAATCAACTTTATTTTTCATTCTAGTTTCTTTGAGTCTTGAATTTCATGTGCTGTTTGGTTCAATTCTGTTTCATTTTTTATTTCAACTTAGATTCAAGTTCTTGAGCCCTTGCTTTTGTTAGTTTTGTTAATTCCATGCAGAATCTTTTACTTTTCATGTTCATTCACTTTTTTTTTTTTTTTTTTGTAATTTTCAAGTTCATTTACTTTCGAGTTCATGTTAATTAGTTGATGTAGTGTGTTGAATTTAAATTCTGTTTTTAGATTCGGTTAGTCTTGTTACTTTCATTCTTTTTCCTTTCATCGCAATTTAAATTGCAAACCTTTATATCACCTTAGTTATTAGCTACTTCCCATGTGATCTTGGGGAGTACAATACTTGAAGAGAGTTGGAATTTCAGTGCTGTTTGTTTCTGTTTTCAGAATCTATATGAGCTGCTGCCTTAGTTTGTTTTTGCTTTACTTCTTCTTTTGTTGAGATTATTCTTGCTGATAGGTAGATCATTTTAGTACATGAAGTGTCCATGACTTAGCAACTAATGTTGGCTTTCATTCAATGGATTCTTTAGCTTTTTTTTTTTAAATTCACATTATGTTTGTTATTATTCCTCTGCTAAATAGTCGGTTTACGTGATTTGTTTGTCTTTTGCTTCTTCTTTAAGTGCTGTCATTTTCAATCCTAAAAGCTTGTAAAGTGGTTTTAAAGGATAGGATGCAAGATAGGATGAGTGGTGGGCAATATAGTTTCTTTTAGGGGTTGAAGGATGAAGAAAAAAAAAACGTGCTGTTAGGATAGAAAGAAGAGGTGATGGCAGTAGCACTAGGCTGCTGCCCTTTTCGGGTTGCCACTTTCGGGTTTCAAGGTTCTGTTTGATTTTTTATTTATTTACTTGTTGTTTAAGTTGTAAATGGAGGATTAGAGCACATCTGGAGCAGATTGTAGTCGGTTAGGGGCTTTGTAGTGTTAGCTTTAAACGATTTCAAGGGCTGTTTTCCTAATTTTTCCCATTTGTTTTCTTTCTTAATTTCCTTTGCTTTTCCTTACTTATTTTCCTACTTGTTAGCTTAGTTTCCATGCAATTTTTTAGAGCAAACATTTCGAATTTGAGGATGAAATGACACCTTTTTTGGGCTGTTTCCAGTTTTTGCTTACAAGCTATTTGCTTTTATTTTCTTTGTTTTTCATGGATTTTTATGCTAGACAAAGATAATATATATATTTATCGGTGCGGTCATTAATCTGACAAAAATTAAATGCTACATCATGAAAGTCATATTTAGAAACTCGAAAGAATTAAGTACTATACGATGGGAGTCATTTCTAGAATCTCAATTTTTGTTGTAATTTTGATTCTGTGATTTTATATGTATTTTATATTGAACTTGACGGAAATGTCAAGTTTTAAACTGGGAAGATTGTGACGTCCCAATCTCATATTGAAATAATTTGAGTATATGATATACTATATATATAAATATCTAAACTCATACTTATGAGATGCTTTTTATTTGACAAAATCGAAAAACCTTCAGGTTAAAAAAAAACAATATCTTGCTAGTTAGATGCGGATATCTACATGTTATTATATGGAGACATCATGTATGAGGCTTCATATTACTTAAATATAATATTTTCTATTTTTCATGCATTTAAAGTTGAAAATATTTGTTTGCTATTTTATTTA